CCTATATATATGTGTGTGTGTGTGTGTGTTCTATTCTACATTGCATTGTAGGCTATAAGCAATGATAAGATGTACAACCCAATTAGGCAAATATATTGTGTTGTTTTGTGAAATATGCATCGTCATGTCAATTTTATTTGTTGTGGAATTTATTTTGTATCTTTATATCTCGATGGTAATCACTGATCGATAAATTCCTCTTTATTACAGCAATTTTGAAGATTTTAAAGAATAATGTATTTATATCGTAAACTATAAATCTCTAATAAAGATTAAGATCTCGAAGTTAAAAACGAAACCATTGAAATGTGTGAATTTTGCTATGGAACGTCTTTATAATGGGATATTTATTAATATTTTTACAAATTATTAGAGGGGACAAAAGAAAACATGAAACACCGGACAAACAACAAAATGCAAAGATAGCAACAAAAAGAAAATTCATATTATACAGATTATACATATATTATTCCTCATAACTACGAATTTGTTTTGACAGAAATATATTACCATGTCTCCTTATCTTCTAGACCAGAACTAACGTCGAAGACTATATTCAAGTTGGAGCTGGCCTGTTGTGATGGTTGGCAAAGGGAGGGAAACAGCTGCTCAAAAAGTAAGAGAAATACATCGATTGTAAATTGATGAATTTTGACGACTAAGTAATACATTAATTAATGTGTTTTCACGCTGATTGATGAGAATTTACGTTGGTCGATCGTTATTTAGGTTTATTGGTGATCATTTATCACCAGTAGCACGTTTTCATACTGGACGCGTACATTCACACTTCTGGAATTCATATTCACAACACTGTTCTCCGTGCATTTCCTTTGATTGAGGCTGGGCATGAACAATGCCGTTATACTATATCGATATTGTCATTGCTTGATGGATTTATTTGACTCTCTACTGATTGACTAATTGTCTGGTTACTCTGGTGGCGTTTATTCAAAGCTGGGCGTTTATCGGAAAATAATACTGATTAAAAAGTGTATGGTTTCAGTCAGTCCTTATTTATAATCAGACGTGATTCTTATACTCACTACGATTAGTATTGTTTTTATGCATTTGGTTATATTTTTATGTGCGCACACGCTTTATATCTTGCAGAATGTCCAGAGGGAACTTACGGAACAAATTGCGAAAAACGTTGTAAATGCATTTTGAATTCAAATTTCTTTTGCACCCCAAATAAAGGACAGTGTTTCTGTAAGCCAGGTTGGACAGGGGAAAAGTGTATGATACCATGTGAACCCGGCAAGTTCGGCATGCAATGCCGAGAGGACTGTCCTTGCCGAAACGGAGCAGGTTGTAACCCTGTCGATGGAACATGTTTCTGCCCGCCGGGATGGGGTGGGCTGGATTGCAGTAAACAGTGTCCACATGGATGGTATGGACCCAATTGTACTGAAAAATGCTCTTGCGAGGGAGGTCTACTATGCGACAGACGCAGTGGACGTTGCTGCGAGCGCACGTCCAAGTCCACACAGAATCGAATCTGCCCTGGAAATTGCCCTGGCGCTGGACACCATACAGCGGGGAATGAGTGCGAACTGCAATGTAAGTGCTCAAATTCGTACACGTGTGAGCCGATCAATGGACTTTGTCAGTGTAAGAGTGGCTGGAAACCACCGTATTGCCGTCAACCATGCGATCCTGGAACTTACGGCCTGAGTTGTGCTTATAAATGTGGATGTTCATTAAACGCCACGTGTGATCTCCAAACCGGTTCATGTGACACCCGTAAGCATATTCCGAATCAATTTATTTTTCTAGCTTAATTTCAAACAGTTTAATGGGCTGACCTATGTTGAGTTAATTAAGCCTAGGCTTACTATCAAAAACAATTCTCTTTTCGGTTAAAGTTTACTCGAAGACATCCACGAATTTTCGCAAGAGGCCTTCATCAGGAAAACTTCATCCAACGAACCTATGTCGGATGGATAATTCTAATTATTCCACTGGACACACCGGGAACCCGCGACGGTCGCACTAGGAGAGCGCATTTCCCTGCTAAATATTTCCCTACTATACTAAGTCTCGAATAGTGTATTCCTTTTTTTTTTTTTTTTTTTTTTTTTTGCACTGGGGACCAACGACTTTACAACTAAATCGAAGGACTATACACTTAGATGAACATAATATCTTACCTAAGGACGGCATTTGCAGGTCTCGAACTTAGGCCAACCGCTGCCCTAGCTCACCTTCAACCTTCAATAAATGCAGAATATAGCGTAGTATTCAAACCCTTTGCAAGAATGTAAATGTTGACCTATTATAATACTTTTTATTATGGTGTTAACTATGATGATATTAAATTGTATTACAGCTGTGACGGAGAGACATATTAATGAGATTGCCATAGCAACTGTTGCCCTTATTGGTTTAGTTATTCTTGCTCTGTTGTCATTAATCGTATGCATTTGCTGCAGAAAAAGACGTAAACGGCTCAGTCGTTCGGGGTAAGTACCGTTTAAATGGTGTTACTTGCACAATGTCTTCAACAATGCTTTCAATGAATATTGAACACTTTCGCTTGCAAGACTAAAATCATTAGTGGCGGATTCAAGGGTGGGCCCAGGTCACTTTTGCAAATGTTGCTTTTCTTAAACATATAACAAATTTTCGGTACACCATGTGTAAATAAAATAATATGGTTTTTATTAAGGTAAAAACCACTGGTTGGTTGTCTCATTTTATTTTATTGTTGTCTCATTTTATTTTATTTACTTTACACATGGTGTACCGAAAATTTGTTATATGTTTATTGATACTCGCCATGCAAACCTTCAAGAAATATTTTGCTTTTCTTAATTTGTTTGACTGTATTATTAATCGGTTTGTTAAGCAATTCCAGCTTATATGCCAACTCTTCGTAAACTTTCAATAAGCACCCGACCTGATTTGGTGTGTCATTCGTTTATTCTTGAACCTCCAAAATCAATAATCTCTACATTTTCTTTGTTCGTCGTTTTCTCAGAACGGTACGTATTAATTGCCAGCTGATTGTTTTCAAATTTCTTTGTATCGCACTAATTTAAAAAATGATTTCAAACGCTTCCTTATAATTTATCTTAATCATTTACATTTAGTAATAGCCTAGAGCCTTGTTTGTGGTGACAAAACTTTAAGCAAGTTGCATGCTGGCTTTGGTTCCTCCAGGGAATTTGAACAACGCCAACATAATTCGTATATTATTTACTATAGAGAATACACGGACGGCGGTAGCAAATGAAATTGAATTGAGATTGAAAACTTTCACTTCGGACATCTATTTTACTTTTTTAGCACAACAAAATGGCATTGTACATATTTCACGGAACAGGCGGAGTTTAGCAAGTTCCCGTATGATGGTAAGAATGCTTTTTACAATCTCATTATCAATATAATTTATTTATTTATTTATTTAAATTCTCATGCAACAACGGCAAGCCCGCCCCTTACAGAATGGAACTTAAACTAATTAAATCTAGAGTAAAAAAATTATTGAATTTCAAATCAATTTCACAAGGCGAAAAAAACCATAAAAAGAAATTAAACAATTTTAGAAATGTCGTTAGTAAAACTTTTAAAACTATTCAAAAATAAATAAATAAATAGAATTGTCTTTATCAACACAAACATTATAAAGACTACAAATACGGGACAAGAATAAATGTAAAATGTGCCTTTCATATAAACCTATGTATGTACTTCACATTACTGACATTACTAGACAGTCTAAAATTATTATTATTATTATTATTATTATTTTATTGAAATCATTATCAATAAGATCTGTTGGTCATAACGTTATTAAGCTATATGTGTATGATCATGTATGGTGGATGAACGTTTGTGAGAGAGAGACTTGCCAATGGTGGATTCAAAAGAGTGGGGCCTTTATCACCCGCCATCTGTGGATGTCATTCCCTGGCCCCTATTTTAAATTACTGGATCCGCCACTACTTGCATGTAGGACCCTCAAAAAACACTTTTGCCCTCGATGGGATAGTTAAAAAACAACGTTATGGGGTCCTAGTATTCGTATCAGATGAAGAAAATGCGTTAGTATCATTTTACAGTTATTGTATTCTACTGATAAAATGCTAGTATTAAAAGGAATGTGTGTTAGTTTGATTTTCTTTAAAACCTTTCATAACTAAATAGCAAACAGATCATGTGCCCACAACATCTTCACACATGCGTGTGTGTGCTGCAGCTAAGAGGCCAGTTTATTTAGGGAGGAAACCAAGAGCCGTTGGTGCTTGGCATGACAATCGTAAAGTTCGGAGGTGCCCAGAGTAAAAGGTCATTTAAGGCCACTTATGACGTAAAAGCAGACGTTTTACTTTCTGTTAAAACACAGTAGTTCCTTCGTTATTTAAAGCTGAAAATTCTTAATATGCCAGAAAATTCAATTTTGTAGGTTATGTTTTGCGTTTTAAGGCTTGCATAACTGTATTGATAAGTCCTATTAGAGTTACATGTAGGCCTACTGACTTAGAGTTGTTATTATTGCGATGTGTTGCTGTTGCAATGCATGTGAATACAGACTTATTATTTGAAATTTTTGAAGGTCTATGAAATCAAATCAAGCCTCTAATATCGAATTAAAATTGAATTGTAAATTTTATAGTATTGATTATGTTATTAACTTCGAAACTTAAATTCATATCAAAGCATTTATACTGATTTACATAATTTGTATACAATGTCCTTACCCATTCAGAAGCCTATGGAAAAATTATAATCCATGGACGAAACTTGTTTAAGCTTCTGTTAATTTGCGTGAAAAACTTACTTAACAAGGTAATTTAGACGTTAATGTCACCCTGCTTGTTAGCCGCGTACAGACAAAAACTCCAAAACTATTGCACTACCGTCAAGGATGCAGGAGTAGTGTAAACCTTATTGTCTGTAATAGTTGTAATTGAACCCATGTCTGTTAATTCTCATCTATTATACATATATTTAATATTACTGAATTATGTGTACTTGGTTATTATTTCTTTTAGAAAACTACGAGAACACTAGTTTCACTTCAAGAACTCTAACCAGGTCTGTGGCGCCCAGCAAAACGTCTGCTCCATCTCCCACTATTTCGCAATCTTCAATCGAGAGGAAGCTTAGACAGATGAAAGAAAATTCTTCATGCAACAGTGCGCTGGCCCAGCAGTTGATACAGAAGGCCCAGGCACCGCATCCACCCCAGCACCAGATACCTCAAAAACACCAAGTCTCACCACAGTTCCAGGAACAAGTAAAACCCCAGATACAGCAGGTACTGTATACCAAACCGCCGTACGCAAGGGTCAGAAAGACGAAAAACAAAGGAAAATTGGTCGATGAGGTGGACAATAAAGAAGTAAGCCTACAGAATAACGAGCTCGAGGCGTCGTACCGATCATACAAACGGCGGCCATCTTATGAAATGTGCCAGAATGACAGCGAAACGATAGAATTTCGCAGACCAACGACTCCAAACAAGTCAGACTCACTAAGAAGTAACTACGAAAACATCAGAATGGATCTCGATACGTTATCGAATGGTATGGTAAGTGATACTAGTGATGCCCCGGATGTTTCCAGAGGAACAATTCAAATGAGCCAATGTCCGGATATACTCATAAACGGGGGCATGAATTTTGGCACCACTTGTGGGCAAAACTCTTTTACCAACGATGGTGAGAGAAGGCTAAGTAACGGTAGTGATAACAGTCGAATTGTAGATAACCAGAGCACGTATGATCGTGTTGACCGATCAAAGAGGTCGTATTCAGTTGGTCAATGTAGTGATAATTATGGTGCTCTGCGATTTAATTATAAACACCATGATACTCTACCGGATAATCGATCATGGATGAACAAGAGTGACGATTATACAACCAAATCATCAACAAATCCACGGAAGAAAGTTCAAGCACCTAAACTACCTAATATGTTTCTGTCGAAGAAACCATTCGAACAAATGAACGAGCAAGTCTCAGTTTACGAAGCGTTGACGCCAAAATTAAGTACAGATCATCATGACTATGATCGCCTGGTGTATCCTAACAAACGGCGCGGAAGACGAGCCAGTGAGGATCTAGTTGCTGCGAGAAAACAACGTCTGAGATTTCTACAACAGATGGATGAAAGAAAAGGCAGAAAATTTAATATTACGCCTAGGATTATGAAAGAAAAGTGAAATCCAAATATATGGACTATCGATTATGAAAACTGCTGAAGAAAGCTACGGTATCATTCTTTATCAATGCATCGGAGGGATATGACCATATTGAGTTACATACTGTTAGATAAAGGCATGAGACCTTCGAAAACTTTTTCAAAAAGTCGAGCTGGCTCAAGGGTTTCATTAGTCTAGCAAAGTATTGTACGTAGAATGACTTAATGAATTATAATTGTAATTAAAAAGGGATAAACATCCTTGTTATTGTTTTCCTTGAAAGACCTTCAATCATTCGTAATAGGCCTATACTGACCACCTAGACTTAGATAATTACGTTTATCCTAGAAAGATAAACATAGCATCCCTAGCTACGGATGTGTAAAAAAAATATTGTAAGAAAGACGAAATAATTATAAGCCTTATTATCGTGAACTTTATGTGGTTCTTCATGGTATTTCGTAGAATCCTGTTGTTAAAGGTTCTCTTCAGTACCACGTAGCCGTATTACTGTAATTCGGTGAACATGCGTAAGTATTACAGTATTAAGAAATTTTGTCAATAAAGAAAAAGGATTCTCTAGCATCTCTCTCCCCGTATGGATCATGATCCTATATTTAACATGATTAGTCTGATGTACATGACATAGAGTTGACAAAACGTGGAGGTTAAATCTGTGAGGCAAGAAGCTAAGCATGTTTTAGTGATTATCATAAGACACGAACAGGAAGGGAGATTCTATATTAAATCACATTCATAATTGTAATCCATCTGTTAAGTTAGACATTAGGACTAGGCCTAATACACTTAGTTATAATATAACCCAGAAGTATCTCGTTCTCAGATACATGTTGCTTCTTTTTTTTTTTTTTATAGTAGTTGTTGTTGTAGCAAGTTAATCATGCGCAACCAATTATAAATCGTGGGCGTTTGAACTCTGAACTCCTAGATTAACGTGTTTTATTCCACTTGGGTTGTTGTCTATAAATAGGCCTATTGGATTTTTTTTTAATTATATTTTTTGAGGTTTTGCTTTAGAAAAACAATTAATAACGGAATAATCTTAAAAACTGTACACTTTTTTAAGTAGATCCACATTCATATCTCACATCTGCGTTCTTTAAAAAGAATCGATCATATTCGTCAAAGGAAAAAATCCCATTAATTACATAATGAACGACTTGGCATGGAATAAGTTGACTGATAGATGGAAAGAACACCAACTATACTGTTGCTTACATTTAATTGCCTCGGAGGAATCGCCCCATCTTACAGTAGCTCTCAGTGTATTAGAAGTAAATTACACAACACCTTGGTAGAGCAGAAAGGGAAGCTTGTACAAGGCAAGAGAACATTTTTATGCCGTGCAATTATAAGGCATGGAGCGAACTCCCAAAACCAAATAAGTATGAATTTTAATAATTTCAACTGACAACTTTTAAAGATTTTGATCAATGTTATTTATATTCGTTTCCACTGCAAAGTAGATCCTGTTGAAGTAACTATCATGACATTCGCTGTGCTCTAATCATTTAAATAATGTTTTTAAATTATATATATATATAGGCCTATATATTTAGGCCTATATAAAATTTCATTGCAAATTAACATACATGAGAAAAATGTTCACATAGGCCATTCATATTGATGCCAACAACTTTCTTAGTAAAAAAAATGTAAACATTAGAAAAATGAATTGTTGATAACTTATTTGATCTTTTTAAATTAGAAAATTTAATGTTTTAACCGAAGTTCGAGGGCATACCAAATTGTAACAGCGGTTGTCTATTTATGAAACTGCACACTCATAGCTTGTTCATCCTCTAAAGAGGGCGTACTATTTCATACGCTTTATGTTTCTGTTATTAATATTAACAAAATTAATAAAATTAGATAATATTTTTAGTTAACACTTACTTACTGACTGTTTCAGTTTCTATCAATAAATTTTATATATTATTTATATATAAACTCATTGCACACATATATTTGCATACTGTATTTTTCATCAAGAACGCTCTTCTAAAGGTTTTATTTTATTTGTGTTTTAATTAATGCAATTATTACATTTTTACGACCATTATTGTTTTTTTAATTTGGCAGTTATACATAATACCGAGTGTTACTCTGTATATTACAAGTATGTGCTATTATATTTCAACTGCACATCCAACAGCAAGTATTTATGGCGCTCTTCAAACAAACTTTCAGTATAATGCTTATGCTATAAATTTGGTTTAGCCATGAGAAAAATCATCTTGGGATTTTACAAGACTTAACCCCAGGACCGTAAGATGATCCCCAGCCTACATCTTTGTCAATAATGTAGATGATACTCATCATGTCTTCGATTTCTCCTGGTCTCCTAACAAAATTTTTGAACTGAAATTTTACTCTGTTTGCTCGCCTTCCTCTACCATCATACAACCTGCCATAAATTGTTAGAAATTATTTGTGTCATTAATTTTGTATAATGTATTGGTGGCGAATCTAGGGGTGTGCGCACACCCCTCCAAAAAAAAAAGTTCGAAGCAAAAAAAGTCACGCTAAAGTAATTAAATATCACCTATATTTGTGGGCTAGCGCCCCTCACGTATTCATAGAGCCTCCGACTTCATCTCCCCCATCACCCCTAGACTCCTAGACCTGTCTCTTATACACATCTAGATGTATTGGCCCTCGATGACATTTTTGGAAGCAATAAAATTCAAATTGAAATGCAATCTTATCAAATCATAATTTATGATCTACAATTTTATCATAATCTAATAATATAATTAAATATATACGGTAATCATGATGATCTACAATTGAATGAAAACCTACAATCTACAACTAAATCATAATCTACAATTAAATGATAATCAGTGATCTACAATTAAATTCAACATCTTGTGTCTACCAAAATCTATGAGCTACAATCTCCGGTCCTAAACGTTAGCCATTGCTCTTCCTCTAGATAATATTGTACAATTCGAGAGGTAGATCCAAGTACTAAGATCTTCAACAATTGCCTAGGTGTACGGCATACCTATTTCAATGGACAGTGACTCCAGAGAAATTGTAAGCTCTGTCTCCCAGCATCAGGAATTGATGAACAGGTGCCATGGATATAGACAATCTAAATTATAATCTGAATTTTATATGTTTCACAATTAAATTAATTACAATCACAAAAATCATATTCATAATGTAAACATCTCATCACAATGAGATAATCAACAACCAAATCACAGTCTACAATCAAACAGTAATCTACTTTGAAATCATAATCTATAAGTCTAATCTATAACGTTTTTTATAATTTTGATAATAATATTCCAATTATAATCAAATAATTTGATAATAATATTCCAATTCAGCTGATGGCTGCTATTGTACTTTTTAATGGCAAAAAATATATATCATAATATTGTCATAATCCACAATCGAAATTGTAATAATAGGCATAAGTAAGATGATGAGCCCTATCAGATCGTATTGAAGCCAAAAACAGCATTTTCGAGATTAAGCTATTTATTGACGATTTCGTGTAGGAAGTGTACGTACTTCTTATATTCATATATTGATATTATTTCTTTAGGCACACACAAGTGCTAAGGAGTGCAAATAGTGAATACAGCGGAACCCTTCCTTTGGGACGCCCCTATTGAGGGGATCCCCTATTTAGCGGGCACCTTTTATTGCCGTGAAGTGAGAGAAATATATCTTTTAACACTAAGTTCAACCCCTATTCGGAGGACACCCTAGGGGACACTTTTTAGTCCCGAAGGTGTCCCCTTGATAGGGGTTCTACTGTATATCACTTTCCTACTTGTCAATGTAAGACTTACTTAGGAAGTGTGGGCTTGTTTTGGTCGTGAGAAAAAACCCTGCAACATTGATAGGAAGAACGCAGGACCATGGGATTGGAACCATTAATCTATTAAACTCCGCTTAGGTGAAGAATCTACAATATTGCAATTGATATCTAGAATATTAAATAAATCATAATGTACAATCAAAAATGATAATATAAAATAAAATCATATCCGACATATACTTCATTTCAATTTAGCATAACCAGCATAACCATTTGTTATGTAAAGGTTAATAACTTCAATAATCTTTCAAACTTAGCCTTCCATATTTGATCCTTTATTATGTTACTTCAATTGCTTGTGACGTACCGGTAGTCTACATCTTGAAGACAACCCCATTGTTGAGTCTTCGGATTGTTTGCCAACGACTCGTGGGTAGCTAACCGGTTGTTCTTAATGCGATACATCCTTCGTTGAGGATGCCATGTTTTTAAGAGTTTCTAATAATTACACTGATTCGTCATCATACAAGCTACATCATAAATCTTGCAGTTCAACCATTAAACTTGTTGCGGTTTATACAAATCCATAATAAAACCTGGATACTCCTGCGGATGACCAATTCGTCAATCATGTGTCCTTGCTAGTAATTTGTTTCTGCTATTTAAATTATACAAATCTCTTTCTAATTAAATACCCCTCCAATTAAAGGGCTCTAATTAAAGACCACTTTTCTGTGGTCTCATACAGGTATATATAAACAAAAGTCTATTATCTTATTTATTCTAATTAAAGACCAAAGCTGCTAAACACCATGGAAAAGTGGTCTTTAATTGGAAGGAGACCTGTATTTTCAATTGAATGCAGTAGGTCTATTTCTTAAACGACACAACTGCAAAATTTTATCAATACGTTGTGCCAGGCTAATTTCTCCTTGGATTGACCAAGAGGGTATTAAGTCTATTTAATAACGTATTGGTTTTTACCACTGATGATTATTACCATAATACTCACCTGGTCATCCGTTAATGCCGTTGCGTGACGTGCTGTTTGCCAACCTGTAAAACTGTCTATTTAAACCTATCTCATTAGGCTTTAATGGTTTAAGGAATTTTTTTTTTTTTTTGGGCCAACGACTTGAACTGTATCCAGCGCATTATGCGCATGTTTCTAAATGATGACAATGACGTCGTGTCGAACTTTAGCTACTTGTGCAGCATTACACTATCTAGATTTTTAGCGTATCCACTTTCTACTCCTTGAATAATAGGCCCTACATTAATACGGTAATGATGCAACAATCATTGTTTGATATACTTAATGTATTGAGACATTCTCAACTTGATCAATAGGCCATGATATCTTGACGTATTTATTGACGAATTATTATTAAACGAATTAGTATTATTATTATGCAACATATATTTATTCAGGATACATATTCAATGGAAGTAAATGTACAATAATAAAATTGACAAAGCATAGGCCTACTAAAATTGATCTACCATATGGTCTTGATTAAAACTAAAATTAAATATCAACATAATATTATCAAAAGAAGGACAAATGAATACAGTTTTGTAAAGATTGTAAAGTGTATTAAAAAATCGACAAAAATATAAAAACAAGTTAAGAATGATATCACTTCTCCACGTAGGTAGTAATAACATTGTGTCAGTGCCCGTAAGTATGTCAATATTTTAAACAAAATAATGAAACCATTAAAACTACTCCTTTTTATATACATCTTTTTAAAAATACTGATTGTTCCAACCTCTTGCAAAATTAGGGGTAACTCATTCCAACACCGTATACTCCAGAGATCTTAAAAGATCGATTAATTTTACATTATTGGCCTTTTGGTGGTAGGCCTACATATTGAGAGAGTTCGCCCCGCGCGTACTATAGTATTATGCCTATCAAATAACAATTCTACATCATTTACAAGACGATCAGGAACTGTACCATGTATACAATTGTATATTAGACAATTTAAATAGTAATCACGCCTTTTTTTCTATTTTGTGCCACTTCAGTTCTTCAATAATTTGCTCACCTCTATATTTTATATAATCAACGGTTACGATTCTACCACATCTTTTTTTTTTGCAATCACTAAATTTCTATTTTTACATAGGCATTGCCCCATTACAGAGCATCCATAGTCAAGACAATGTTGGATTGTAGTTTTGTACAGGGTTTCTGAAAAACCTAGTGATTTGGTTAAATGAATGCACCATGCGTCCATTCCAAGTTAGTTTGACATCAAGTATTACACGAAGAATTGAGTTCCAACATTCTTCCGTTTATGAGAATTTCTAATTTGTATTCAGGGTTCCTTTACTATTTATCAACTTTTCTGCGTTACTGGTAAGTTTATTTTCATCATACCATTCAGTAACTCTATTCATAACAATTTGTAGTTGAAAGCTAACTGCATCAGTAGCTTTACTAGATGTAGGCCTTAAATAACAAAATCATCTGCAAATATACTTATTGAGGCCTTTTCAACAACCTGGGGTGTATCATTAATAAACAGAATGAATAGTATTGGGCCTGTAATGCTACCTTGGGATACACCAACATTAATTTGGTTTACTTTAGATTTTTTGTTGTTACAATATACAATTTGTTTGCGATTAGATAAATACCTATATTAGTATTAGACAACCTTATGTAGACAACGAATAATTTATATCGAAAATAATAAAACATTACAATTTTATAATATGCCGATTGGACAACATAGTCTATACAATGAGCAATGAAAATTAGAGAGTATGTTGCGTATATCATTGTTCATTTCATTTTTTAAATTTTACTTTTCGTGTTGAAAATAATTTTCTGAGGACAGGAGGAACTACCCGTATTCGTTTAATAATGTTATGTTCCTAATATACGTCAAACAATAATAACATTATTCATTGGAACATAAATGCTCCCTATCTTTACGGGACCCTAGCCTAGGACATGTCTTTGATCAAAAAGTATTAGTAAGATGGAATCACTTTCATTATTTCAACATGTCTGACGTGTCAATAATAACGTAACACTAATGCTGAATGGACGCGACTATCAGAAATGTATAGGCATGAGAAAACCTAGATCAGCAAGCTAAATAATGCAATGAACTA